AAGAGGCTTGGGAGGATGCACGGTTGCCAAGAGCCTGTTCCTTTGTGGCCGAGTATGCTTTCTGGCCTTTCTGAGAACAGAGCAGAGGAGTCACCTCAGACACAATGATCAGAGTACTGATACTAATTATTATTATTATCACTATTATTATTACTATTATTATTATTTTCCACTAGTCTCTGACAGGAAGGCATTCCTTTGACCTCATTCCAGCCAGGAACCCAGAATCTCCTTCTTTTCCTCCCTTTCCCCCTTCCTCCCTCCTTCCCTTCCTCTGCCAGGAGTCTTCCATATGGCTCGTCATCTGAGAGCAGAGTGCTGCCAGTCTTTTCACAGTGCCAGGTTCTAACCTAGAAGGGTCTTAATGAGCCTGTAAATCTGTGGTACTTTGGGACCCTGTGGAGACTCTAGGCATAAAACATTGACCTAACAGACACCATAGAAGACTTGGAGACTGAGCCTTAAAGAAATGACTTAGCATTTAAGATTCAGAAGCCACCCAAGCAAGGAAAAGCAAAAAAAAAAAAAAAACAAACAAAAAAAACCAAACCACTGCAGACACATAGTCTGTGGCTTAGAAACAAATTTGTATCCCAGAGGGAATTCTCCAGGCATTGCCTTACAGAGAGTAATGAGGGAATGTCTGGGATTCTAGACCTGAGCCTAGGTTCTGTGTTGTAAAGAACAAATTTGTGGAAGGGGACTGAAAGGTGTGTACTTGCTGTGGACCCTTTAAATAACTCAGAACCCTCAAAGCCAAGAAGGCCCTGGGTTTTACAGCAAAAGCTTCATGGTAGCCTCAGACACAAGAGCTTCTGTCAAGAATAGTAAATACAGGTGCCACTGCCTCCTGTGGTAGCAATGACCTGTGAGAATAAAGGAGGTCTAAAGGTGTGCCAGGGGAAGACCAGGCTGCGATGGGTCTAGGGCTGAACTTTGTGGAGAGTCAAGCAGTGAAAAATCCAATGGCTAGTGTGCGGTCAGTGTGTTCCAGGTTTCAAATTCAGCACTTACACACAACGGCGCACACGGTTTTACTTAATCCCCTTGACAGCTCTGTGGTAGACATCAGGAAACTGAAGAACAGAAAATGTAGGGGATCTGATCAAAGATGCACGGCCATAAAGCTTTGTACCTCAAATCTGAGTAGGGTGACATCAAAAGCCATGCTCTGGAAGAGTGCATTATTTCTGCCAATGTGTGTGTCCATGTGCCCACAAGCTTCCCGAGGCTCTGAAATATAGACTATGACTCAGTGGGTCAGGAAGAAGAGGCCTCTACCATTTCCTCAGTGACACTTCTGTCTCTGGTGCCCATATCCATTTAGGGCATCATGCTGATCAAAGGAGGTCATCCTAAATCAGCTAACAGACCTCAGCATCCCCTTCCCCTCCCCCTATCATCTACTTACAGTCAATCTGTTGCCTAGAACTCATTAAATGTATGATTCTCTGTAAGAGCCAGAAGGGATGGAGGACACCAAGAAAACAGGCCTTCTAAACCAACATGATCAAACTTCATATGAACTCACAGAGATGGAGGCAGCATGCACAGGGCCTACACTTGTCTGCACCATGTCTCTGTGCATATATTATAGCTTCCAGTTTAGTGTTTTTATGGGATTCCTGAGTATGTGAATGAGTGGGTCTCTTGTACCTTCTCATGGGCTCTTCTCCTTCTGTTTGTATTGTCCAATTCTAGTGTGATAGCTTTTGTTTTATCTTATTCTATTTTGTTACATTTTATTACTTAAAAAGAGTGAAAAATGAAATATATGATTCTCACAATGGCTCTATGAGGTGAGAGGTGTCACTTACAAATGAAGAAATAGAGACTTGGAAGGGGGGGTCAGCTGACCCAGGCACATGGAAAGTGATGGGTCTGGGTCCAAGTCAAGTAAGAGGTTTCTGGAGGCCCACACACAAGGCAAAGAAACTGAGAAATTCCTCTTCAGGGTTCAAGCAGGACAATGAGTGAGAACAGATAGTTATTTAGAACTGAGACCAGTCATTTCCCCTTCCCCCTTCTCTCTTTCCTGAGTCCTTCTGCCCCCAGATACTTCAGAAAGAGAACAGTGATCCTTGGGACTAGTTTCAGCATAGGCATGTACTATCTACACTTGGTTTTCTTATATGCATATAATCCCTCCTTAAATCGTGCAGTGGTTTTCATTCATAAATCTCCCAGCTGTGAACTTCCTAGGACAATTATAGGAGATGCATATTATACATGCATACACGCTATATATATATATATATATATATATATATATATATATATATATATATGTGTGTGTGTGTGTGTGTGTGTGTGTGTATATATATATATACATATATATGTGTGTATGTGTATAGATATATAATAGCACTACTCAAACACAAATATTAACCTATGAAGCACGAATATTAAAAGGTATTATTAATAAAAACAAAACCAGAGCCAGGTATTGGGATGAACGCTGAAAGATCAGAGAAACAGAGCAAGCCACAGCTAACCTCACCTCACCAATTCCTCAAATTCCTCAGCTGATCTTGTTTCCTCAAACTGGAAGCCTCTGTGTCCTCATCCAAGTGGATCTCAGCTGTACTGCTGCTAAAAGCCTAAAAACTTTAAGGACTCTAGTTCCTGGTCCTTACACCTTATATACCTTTCTGCTTCCTGCCATCACTTCCTGGGATTAAAGGAATCATGTCACCATGCCTGACTGTTTCCAGTGTGGCTTTGAACTCAGAGAGATCTGGATGGATCTCTGCCTCCAGAATGCTAGGATTAAAGGAGCGTGCCCCATTTTCTGGCCTTTATGTCTGTCTAGGGGCTGTTCTGTCCTCTGACCCCAGATAAGTTTATTAGGATGCACAATATTTTGGGGAACACAATATCACCACAAACCTATTTCAGCCATTACTCAATAATAAATCTTCTATGGCCCTACAGGTCTGCAGTACTTAAATTGAACCTTCCTTTACATTTTACTTGTGTGGTGGCAGCAGCCAGGGAAAGAAAGCCTCTACACTGGGACATAGAAGCTGCTCTGAGTCACTATGTCCCTTGCTAGTGTGCTGTGAACTTGTACAAGCTTCTAGGGTCTCTGAGCCTCAACTTCCTCATCCATACAATGGGAATGTTCATAGCTGCAAGTATATGGTAGAAGACTGGTATCAAGGAGCACAAAGTCTTCTCGTTTTTGTTTTTCTCCTGATATGGGAACTAATAACTAGTTTTTGGTTGATTCTCTATGATTTTACAGGGTAGCTTCTATCCAAACAGCTAGCCACCACTTTTGTAAAACTTTACCTGTCATATCATCCTGTAGCCGTAGGCAGGGATGTGCCGCTTCCTCCTGTATCACTCAGTTTTTTGTTGTTGTTGAAGGGATTTTTTTTTTTTTTAATAAATGTCGCCAGCTCTCAGCAAGGCCCTTGCACCAGCTTGCAGTCCCTTCCATGCCTAATTCCCTCCTGTTAGCCTGCTTTATCAGCATATTTCCCACCTCCTTGTTGTGTTTCCGGCTGTGTATCTCTTTGGAAAAGGTGTTCTTTAATGTCTACTTTGACTAGTTTCATTTGGCAAGGAGGTCCGGGATTTCAGCTCAGGAAGAAAACAGCTTCAGTCATACTGTTCTCGTTCACTATTCTTACTCTGTAGTACCCCTGGACTAGTAAGACAGCACCTGCTTTTGCAAGCCATGACGTAAGTTAAATGAAGTCTGTGGGCTCATGGGCAGCCTCTGGCCCACAAGCTTATGTCTATTTCATCTCTCATGTGAAGGCCATATGGCACACTTCAAGCACCCACCTTCTGATGAGGCCCAGCAGGTATATTTTCTTGGATGGGTGTGCTGTGGGATCAAATGAAGCTATGACTGAGTCCCATTTCCTCCAAGGTCTGTCCCCAGCTCCCCAACCTCAGCCATGCATTGGGTTGACCGAGGGCACTGCCTCAATCCATACACCATCTTCTCTTCTCTGACATCACCAACAGATTCCTGACAGCCCATCTTAGCCTTGACCCCTGTCTGTACGTACCTATTCATTGTACTGCCTTGCTTTATCACTCAGGAGACTGAGGCAGGAGGATCATGAGTTGGAGACCAGCCTAGGCTCCACAGTAACATCCTGTCTCAGAAAGCAAGTAAGTAAATGCATAAATACATAAAATCTGTCAATGGTTCCTTACTCTCTTCTACTATACCTCAAACTCTTTATAGGCCACAAAAGGCATAGCCAGGCTCTCACTTTAAAGTTTTGCTGCTCCATTCATTCACAAAATACTGATCTAGGATCCAGTATGTGATAGGTACTGTGCTAAACAATAGATTCAACAATGAACAAGACAAATGAATGTGGACTGACTTCTATGGAGCTTTAGGTGTAGGGTGAAGGTCAAACAATCCTGGCCACATGTATGCAGAATGGTGCAGAGAGGTGACTGTTTGAGTGTAGGTCTATTTGACCTTGTTCCTCATCAAGTAATGTGTAAATTCTGGTGCCAAAAGAGAATCTGACATAAGCTAAGCAGTGATAATGCTGTAGGGCAGGAGGCACAGTGTGTTTGAGGAAATGAAGGAAGCAGACCTATGGGTTAGGAGCCCAGAGAGCACCAGGGCATCAAAGGGAGGTGGCCTGGGGAAAGTAGAGAAAAGGAGGCCAGTCTTGGGGGTTGTTCACCCTGAAGGCAAAGCTAGATGCCTCAATTGTATACATAATATAACAGTATAATAAAAATGTACTTTGAAAAATTATTCAATGTTGTTGGGATAAAGAAGAGATTAGATCGAGCTGAAAAATGTGGGGGATTATTGCCATGGTTAAAACAAGAGATGACTGAAGTTTAGAATGGTCAATAGCAGTGCACTCTAAAGTTGGGGATGTGTTTGGTAGATACTTAACATATTAAATCAGTAGGATTTGTTGGTGGAGTATATATGAGATAAGTAAGTTGAGAAGAGAGCTGTGAGGATATAGATCCATCAAACATCCAAAGAGACAGATTCTACTCACTTGTGAGGGTGGTCCTGGTAGTTGGACCAATGCCCTTGGGGACCAGTACTTCATGGTACTGCTCACCCGCTAGGGTGCTGTACACAACTTTGTACTCCTGAGCTTCTGCCTCGCTGTTATCCCACTCAAGGTCAAGGCTAGTTGCTGTGCGGGAACCCACTCGCAAATTCTTGGGAGCATCAATCTCTAAAAATAAACAAATATTGCCAACATCATTTGTAATTCCATACATTTGTGAACATCTTGAATTCTAATGACTTTTGAGGTGAGAGCCAACACCTCTGACCCTCTGCCTCATATCTGAATGAAGTTTGAAGACTCTGCTTTGCCTTTTGGGTCTACCATGACAAGTCCTTGTGTATGTCACATGATTTGGAGTTAGATGTCAATGAATTCTGTTTCTTCTATATCGTCTGAGAATTCAAGTAGCATTCTAGAAACTTGAAAAGGAGCTGATTAATATCAGAGGTTTAAAATCAAGGCAAAAGATAATCCAGTAGGAGAAAACAAAAAACGACCCTGAATGATCAAAATGGAATAGAGTAATGTCAGATGTGATCTCTGAGCAAAAGGGAGATGACAGATTTTGAGATATCTTCCCAGGGGTTTACTTGCATAGTATAACTGTAATTCATGCAAATTGGGAATTTACAATGTGAATAATGGGTGTGATATAGTAAGAAGTGTGGGCTTTGAAGTCAGGCCTCTGTGTGAACCAGTTCTGATACCTACAGTAATAAGACCACAGACAAGTCTTTCAAGCTCTTAGAACTGAATAGCCATCTCTTTGAAAGGGGAAAACAATCCAAGTTGTTGTTACAGATTAGCTGATGCATGTGAAGTGCACAGCATGGCACCGGGCACAAAAGTAGGTGTCCAAGCCTGGATTGATGGCTTGTTGTTATCTATAATGGACTCCCTGAATCCAACATTATGGCACCTGAATGTGTCTTTTAGGTTTCCAAGAGTTCCCATGACTATTGGCATTTCCTCCCACAGTCTCTGGGAGCTGCTTCTCTCCCCCAGGACTAACCTCCTCCACAGGCTCACTAGAACTTGTAGTGTAACATAGGGGTGTCTTGAAAATCTGTCCCTTAAAAAGTCCAAGATAGTTGCAGTCCTGGGACTTGAATTAACATTGGAGTGTTTCAGTTACTTGTTCTGAGTAGACTGTGGTCATCTGCCACCACCAGGCAAGTAGCCCACTCCCGTTTGTCCCCATAGGAGAGGAGACTGAATCCATCTGAAAGTAGAGGCTTCTGTTTTCTGAGGTAATGTGGGGGTGGGGTTTGGGGGGAGTCGAGCAGATGGATGTCTTTGCAACTTATGTTTGGAGAAATTGGTCTTCATTCAATGTGTGTTATCATACCGGATACTGTTCATTCTTGATGCATTGTATGTTATTTCTCTGGGAGTTGGATGGACAGAGGAGCATGGGGGCAGACACACGTGAGGCAGATCCCATGCAGGAAGAAAGATCTGGCCAAGAGTCTGTGGCCTGATCTGAGTCAGGATTTAACTTTTCTCTTTGTTGGGGTGACAGAAGCAACTTAAGGAAAGAAGGGTTTGTTGAGGCTTATAGTTCCTGGTAGAGTGTGTGAGACAGCTGGTCCCTTTGTCTCCATCTACATTCACGAAGCAGAAGAGGTGAAGGCTGGACGCTGATGTTCAGCTTGCTTTCTCCTTCTGATGCATCTAGAACACCAGCCCACAGAATGTATTTCTCACATTAAGGGTGAGTCCCACCTCAGTTAACCTGATCTAGAAACTCCTTCTAGGTGGTTCTAAACCCTGTCAAGTTGATGAGTATTAACCATCACAGAGGTAAAAACAGTTAATCAAGGTTAAGGTGGTGACCTATGCCTATACTTAGAAAATGTTATTTTAGAGCTTTCCTCTTTTTATAAGGGCATAGAGTACAATCTAATGCCATTGGCCCTGTACTCTATGGGAAGGGGGCAGTGTTTTATTGGAAAGGAATTAGTGTTTCCAACCTCAATAGTTCTAAAAGAGCTCATTGCTAGAATGAGGACTTAAACAGTGAGTCTCAGAACTTGGCTGAGATGAAAGCAATTCTCTCTCTGGGTCTAGAAAAAACAGCTGGTGGACATCCATGTAGAAGGTCTGAGTAGGTTGCAGGTCTCTGAAACATGTCAACTAAGACAGATGGATAATGGAGCCTTTCTGGAGGGCCTTTGGTCCATGAACTCTAGCACTAGCCTGTCTAGTCTTGAGAATATTAGTTAGATCAGGTTTTTCTGTTTAAAGCTTTCTGTTGATCCATGCTAAGTGCTCCTTAATTGCAACAGTGGAAGTCTAACCGGGCACTGAGTGAGCAGACCTTTCTAAACACTTCTATTCAATTTTATTCTTGGAACACATCCATTTGTACTCCAGGGCCTTTGAACCAGCTGCTATGTTTGCCTGGAATGCTCTCTAGCTCTTGCATGACTTAAGTCATATAGTTCTTAGTTAGAAAGCCACCTTCTCAGAGGGGTAGACTTAATCCACTGGAACTCTCTGTCTTATCCATTTACTCCCTACCTCAGAACTCAAGATTGAAATAATCTCTCATGTTTCTTTTCCCTTTCTCACCCAGTTCTTCCCACTAGGTTGCCATTTGTATGAGATAGACTCTTACCTATTTACAGTCTCGGTGCCTAGAGCAGTTTTTGTGGCCCCAGAAGGTGTTCAAAAAGTACATGGTAAGTAAGCAAACGTGTATCATCCACATTTCAGTCTTGCTCATTCCCTCCAAGCCTTTAGAAATGACTTGTTAAATATTTCAGCTGTGCTGTGAGTGAGGTGGTGCAGGAAACAGAACAGCTGTGACAAAGGCAGGCAGCCTCACAAAAGCAGGAAGTCGCTCTGCTGTTCACAACCAGTGTCCAGGCTGAGGCGGCAAAGGCTTTCAGGTTGAACTTTGAAATAACTTGTTGGCGAATCCAAGAATGGAGTCATCAGTGAGGAGGAAGGGGAATGGAACTCTGGCTTGGATGTTTGCATTTGTTATCTGAGGCTGTCACACATGGCAGCCCAAGCTGGGGGTCTGTGTAGGAAAGCAACGTCTAGAATCTTGAGATGCAGGTGTTGGCTGGTGGTTTTCTTCTGGGGGGGGGGGGGGGGAGTCTGTGACATGCCTCTCAGCATCTTGTGATTTCCTGGCCATCTTGGGTATCCTCTGACCCATTTCTGTCTTCATTTTCATATGGCATTCTCCTGTGTCCATGTCTGTCTCTGTCCTGGTTTCCCCCTTTGATAAGGACACAGTTGTTGGATTAAAGCCAATCCAAATGACTTCACCTCAATTGGCCCATCAGCAAGGACCCTATTTCCAAATAAAGTCACATTCAAACACACAGGGGTGTCAGGGCTTTAGTATCTTTTCAACCTATAGAAGCATTAAGCATAGGTGTGGGCCATTCAGATCAAAGGCACTGGTGGCTAAGTTCTTTGAGGACTCAGTGTGAAGTCCTCCCTGGTAAGGGAAACTGTCCCCAGTCTCCACGAGGCTGCTGAAGTGGGAGGGGACTCTCTAGGTTTCCTAGTCTGGCTTCCTTCTAATTACTGCCCCTGTGTGCTTCCACCATGGTTTTTGTTTTCAGGGCAGCTCTAAGACCCAGACTAACATCCTACTCACCATGCAGGAAGCAAATCTCAGTTTTAATTGCCTGTGCAATTAGTGTGCTCCTAGTGTCGAAGCCATCACCTGGAAAAACACTTTGCTTAATTTGAATTTAAGCGGAATTCTGAAATGACTGAGGGCCCTACCGTGAGGGCCTGCATACCCTTTCATCATTCAACAGGCATCTGCCAACTCTGGACTTGGAGAATCTGCCACAAAACTGTTTGGATCTTTCCACCCCCAATTCCCTCTCCCCTCTAGGAGCCTAAGAGAGCAGGCATGGGTCTGAGGCACAGGCTGAAGGCTGCAGGGAGCAGCAGCCACCTAAGAGCTGCCAATCCACAAGGCAACCTGAAGCTGAGACTCCTGCTGCAGTGAACTGAAACGCAGGGGGAGCTCTCTCTGAGGAGGCAGGATGTAATTGTCTTGATTGGAATTTTCCTGGGCCACCAGCCAGCGCCGCTCCATCTTGGCGACCTGAACATCAAGAATTCACTTTTCATCATGCTGCTTGAGAGCCCCTTTTCTTGCCTCTTCAAATTCCTTATCAGAGTAGAGCACAAAGAAACCATTTTCAAATACAAACTATCTTGAAATTAAGAGAAGAATGCAGAACATATGTGGCCCACAGCAGATACCACAAGCCTGAGCAAGTATGTTGTGTGTGTGTGTGTGTGTGTGTGTGTGTGTGTGTGTGTGTGTGTGTGTGTGTGTGTATGACTGTGTATTGGAGGTTGACCACGAATTTTCAGATCAATAATGGATATTACAGGACCATCCTTCCTCATGCTCTTACATGAACATTCTTGCCTAAGTGAGGGAGAAAGGAAGAGAAATGAGAATAATTTGATTGTATTTGCTAGGAAGCACACTCAGTCTTTGGGGATCTCAAGATGTGTTTACTGAACCAGCCCACTGGCTATACTCCAGGCAAGGAAGTGGAGTCTGGTACCAAGAATTGAGAGAAGAACTTAGAGTGTCCAGCAGACTCTATCCTTCCCCCTGAAGCTTGCTCCACACTTGTTTCTAAAGGGGTATTCATCACTGTCTATACTTGCTTGCTTCAACAGAGAAGCCCATCATAAGACTCTTGGATGCACTCTTTGGCTGGGGGAAATGGGCTTATTTAAGTAGTGAATTGTATAGCATAAGCCTGAGCACTGACAATCCATTCCCCTCTCTCATAGGACAGGCTTCCATTGGGGTCTAATCTCTCCCTGTTCCTCCATAGTCTGAGTCCTAACCTAAATAGTCCAGGACTTCCCTATGGGCAGTCTAGCCCACGTCTGCCCCAGCCTTTCAATTCTCAAATCTGTCTACCTGTAACACTAAGCCATCTGCTACAATTGGTCATATGTTGGGGGTGCATATGTCTTGCTTTTGTTCATCGATAATTCAAAATCTAGGTAGAGAAGGTGTTCTAGTTATTGCATGTTGCTGGAGCCTTTGACTCCCTCCATCTTGTAGCGGATTCTCATACTACAACCCAAGGTAGGACACATAGATTAGTGTTTCTTCAGAAGTCAACGGTGCCGAGATCTTCCAGGTGTTACCAATTTCCTTTGATACTTGGGACAACTTGAAACTGGTGGAAACATTCCTTGACATGTAACCTCCCCAAGGAAGAGAGGCCAAGACCAACATTCTAGATTAACAGGAACTCAGTCTCTAACCTGATCACAGGCCCTTGATGACCCAGTCAGGAAACCTAACCTGTGAGTGGGGTCTATTGCTTTTACCCACTGACTGATCAGGCTGCTGGGCTCTGAGTCAGGGAGTTAGCCATCCTGAGGCCCGACTTTTCTGATTATTGCTAAGTTCGAGGAAGCTCTTTAAGAAGCTCTCTTATGGGCATTGTTGCAAGGTCGGAAAAAAAATATAATGGGTTTAACCCAGCTTCCTATCCACATCTGTGTCTATGGCCTGTCTTCTACCAATTAGCTTTGTTGCTAAAGGTTACAAATGGCAGAGCGACTCAGAGACCTCAGTTGGAAGGTTTGCTGATGACTAGGCAGGTTGTGCTTTGCACAAGGCTGAGGTGTCTTCGTGGTAATGAAGTCACTTCAGGCTTAGAGAATTTCTAGTTTCTGGTAAAAGTCAATGAAGTGTCTTAAGAAACAGACACCTTCTCTGAACTCTCACAGATTTGCCTTTTAGGTCAACAATATGGATATTCAAATTTCTTCAGGATAAGCTTAACACTTCAGAAATGGGAAATCAGAGACTCATAGAAGGAAGGGAATTATATTATATTAAGTCACAGACCTGGCTAGCGGAGTTAGGATGAGAACCCAGATCTTCTTACTTGGGGGTACTCTTTTTGGAATAGCAATAGCAGGAGCTGCCCCCTCCCCAAACCTCTAACTTGTTTCTTGTAGCCTCTGCATGAACAGGGTTGCTTAGCAGGCATCATTTCATTTTTCTTCAATGTCCTCTGGCATGATGACATCATCACGTAGACTCCCAACCCCACCTTTTCCCCACCCCAGTCTCACCTGTTGTAAATTGGGTGCTGGTGGCGTCGCTTTCATTGGTTCCTCGGACTGCACTGATGGAGACCTCATAGCGGGAGCCAGGTCTAAGGGCTTGCACTGAGTACTGGCTTAGGGGAGGCTGCAGCCGGAAGGTAGTCTTCCCGCCTTCTCCACCCACTAAGCCGTATTTTAAGAGAATGAAGTCGACTTTGGCTCGAGGTGGGGTCCACTCCACAAAGGCCACAGTGTCAGAGACATCCCGAACCAGGATCTGTGTGGGGCCGTCAATGACTGCATGAGAAATAGAACATGATGTTGATTCAGAAGTGAGCACTCCTTGGCATCTGTTTACTCCTTTCCATCTTACAGTAGCTTGCTCAGTGGGATGGATTTCCTCACCCCATTGTACCAGTATGGGGGAATATGGGTTATAGAAAGAGGAAGTGTCTTCCTTAAGCAAACATTTGTTGACACCATGGACACTGGCATTCAGGTCTCCTGAAACTTAGTCTCTTTCTCCATCCATTGACTGTAGGTTTCAGGTGCTGGCATTTCCTAGTCTGGGCAGGGTAAGGATACTACTCTCTTGGCTGACTCTGACCTATTTCTTTCAGAGATGCCACAGGAGGAAAGAAGGAACTTCTGCCTGCTGCCCAGCTCTTACCTTCACTGAGCCTAGAGGAGAGCTCAATGAGCTAATGGAGACAAAGGAGACCAAGACTTGGTTGCCAAAGATATCATGAGTATTCAGAAGTTATTCCTATTTAGCTTTATTCAGCTTGGCCAACCAGACTGGCATTTGCATATGTGGACATGAAACATGCCATTCAGGAAAATGTGCTCATCTGAATACAAAGGGCTCTAATCTGGAGTTGTTATTGCGAGCCCCCCTCCCACCTCTGACAAGTGCCTACATGTGTCTGAGCCTGAGGACAATGGATACAAAGGATCCCCCAGGTTCTCTGGCACTAAAGATTGGCTCTGGAATTAGCCTGTGTAGAGCCAGGGCTGGTGCGGTGAATTTCTACCACACTTATGGAGAAATAGGCAACATTTGCTATAGGGGTGTGGAGTGGAGAACTGAGGAGGGGGGTGGGGAGGGGAGGAGAACACAGGTATGTACATAAGCAGAAATGAGTGACCATGTGAGCTTCTGAAAAGATATCAAGAGTAACTTGATTCTGGATATTCTACTTTTATGCTTAAAATCTTTCATGAGGCTCAAGTATATTTCTGGTCCTGGGCTTCTAGGAAACAATTTATGTCTTTTCCAGTAAATTTTCTTTTGCTTCAGTTAGTTTAAGTAACTTTCCATAGATTCTTCTGGAATCTTTGACTAAGATTTTGTTATTAAATCAGTAGACATTGGACACTTTCTACTGTCTCTGGCATGGTGTCTCCATCAGGACTACCACAGGCTAACCTCAAATTCCTCAACTTTTCAAAGTTGGGCCATTCACTAGGCACCCCATTCTCAACCCATTACTATACCTATTAAGCAGCTTAAGGCTTTTGGTCTAGTATCAGCTAAAATGAAAATCTCTAAATTATTTTAGTACTACCTGGTTTGGAATTAAAATGAATTTCAGTTTTTCATACTTGAGGTAGTCACGTGTTTAAACAGAAAACAGCCATGTGGTTTCTTTGCACAATGCTGCAGCTTTAGGTAACTCAGACCTTTGCTATTTCATTTAATTTAATTACAGGGTGGCCAAATGCCCTCCTAGCTAAGGCTTAAGTTCATTGTCTGAAACACAGTAGACACTCAATGAGTGCTGAATGAATGAAATGAATGGATGAGCCTCTTCATCCATGAGAACAGGGGTGGGAGGGCATTTAATTGAACTGGAGCTTTTTGAGAGAGAAAAAAAAATGCCATCAGGGGAAATCAGATAACCACATAAGCTTTTGTCCTTCAACTCTTTAGATCCAAAAACCCTGATCATAATGGATTGGCCATATTAGAATGTGATTATGTAGCGCAGAGGGCGTTAGCTGCAGGAGGTCTTGTATTTGCATTCATAAAATGGCCTGCCTGGAAAAAGCCAGTCTGAGTGCAGATGAGGTTTCAGAGCTTCACAGGAGGGGGTGGGTGTAGGTCAGAGCTTAGCAGAAGGAAATAATCAAATGATTGTTTCCTGAAAGTGGCAGACAGGGATGGGAGCCAGCCATCTTTCCTCCTGCACCTTGGATTCTGCCCTTCGTTGGTCAAGTGGTCAAAATGTCCTGTTCCAATCAAGGCTGTAGCAGCTTGCTTTCAGTTTCAGCACTAATTTCTAAATGAATACAAGTCCTTTCAAAAAATGGAATGCATATGGTTTTTTCTTCTTTCTCTTCTTTTTTACATTTTTCTTGTAACTTCGTGCATGACACAACTCAGTTGAGTAGGACTTTTCTTAATTGAAAGCTGCCTAGCTTTCCCATGGTTTTCTAAATCTGGAGCTTTTAATTTTAATTTCAAGGGACTCTCAAAAAGTACTTCAAATTTTATTTTAAAAATTGGTTAGAATATCAGACCGAGGCAGGGTTGGATTGTTTCTTTAAGTGCCCTCAATACTCTGGAAGTAAATTACTCAACTGGAATGCTCTCTCTTCTCTTCTGAACTATCTTTTCTTTCTAGCCTTTACCAGCTAATGCTTTCTTAATGTCAGCCATAGGAATGGCCTGAAGCTACTCTGTATCAGAAGTGAATAACCACCAATGCCTGTTAAAGGTCCAGTCTTCAGAGTCCAACATAACCTTGGGGAACAGATTTGTGCCTTTGGCCTTCTGGAGAGTTCTCCAGAGCACCTGACTTTGCCTCCATGGGGTTTCTTCTGAAGTTCACTTGATTATAACAGTGCTTTAGCGAGCCTCCTCCCCAGAGTGAAAATTTGTTTTCTTTTCTTTTGTTTTGTTTTAATCTTAAATGAATGTACAAAATACAAAACAGGTCAAAGTAGGACTTTCCTGCATGGCAGTATAAGAGAGAAGTAATTGCAGGCATGGATCCCCCTGCCCTCCCATCCTGACCTTGAGACATGGCTCTGGAATCCTGATGCACCAATGCAACATAAGCTAATGTCACTATATATATATATATACATATATATATGTATATATATGCATACATATATACATGTATATATACATATATGTATATATAAATTTTTTTTTAATGCTCAACTTTTTCTACACTGAGCCTAAGTCTCAGAACCTGATGCTTATTGGATATGAATATCTAAGTTTGAACCATTAATCTACAAACATTGCTTTATTGCATGGTGTTATGGTTCCTTTTTCTACCCAAGTCAACCTTTTGTTCTGGACTTAAGGCTGGCTTTCTAGGGTGTTGATTTCTGTTTATGAACAAGAAAACTGTATTAATATTCAGCTAGCTCAGTTTTTTGTTGCCAATAGGGAAAGTTGGTTAAACTCTATATTTAGTTTAAACTCTAAACTCAGCTTCCCTATCAATGAATGAGAGCCCAAAACGAATACCAGACACTACTTATCACTTTGGAGCAACTTCGAGGAGTCACACACATGCATGTCACAGTGGTTAAATTACAGCACTCAAGCTGAACATCCTTCGTCAGCTAAGAGGACGAGAAGGCAAAATACGACACAATTAATGAATTGATCCTGAAAATATGATGATTCTGAGTGAGAAAAACTGAGGGCACAAAAATAATAACTTGAGCCATCACTTTGACCAGTGACTCAACCCTCCCTACTGGTTTCAAGCAGTCTGCCCCTTACGGCCTTTACTTCTAGCATGTTTGGTATAGATGTATATATGCCGAGTACTAAGCACTCATCAGTATAGTGCTAATTACTCTATGTCCTCTATTTAATTTAATCCTCAATTCAATAGAGGAGGTGTTACAAAACAGATCGAGGTTTAGAAAGCTGTAGTTGAATTTCTTCAAGTCTTAAGTAGGTGAGAATGAGTTGGCTCTTGTTGGTTTCAAAGTTTATGACAATAGGAGATTGATGAATGAGGCTTTTCAATGAGTAAGAGTAGAAAAATATCCTGGAACTATTGATAGAGAATTTCCTCAATGGAACACTTTCCCAGGTTTCTGGGCTTGCAAAGATGAGCACTAAGGAATATGGTCTGCTAAGCAACTGGCAGAGTGTGTCCATTTTCAAGTTCCTACATCATTTCAGCTCTGTGATGAATCCTAGCCTCTTTCTTACCTGTCCATTCCTTGTAGTTCTTTGGGCAGCCATGGAAAGAGTTGGAGGCACTTACCCGTGGAGACGCTGGCAGAGGTAGGGGGGCTCCGGGCTTGTTCCTTCAGAGCCACAACATTCACAATGTACTCCTCTCCAGGTTTCAGTCCCGTCTGGTTAAAGGAGGTAACATCGCTGGGGAGCTGAGCTATCACCCCTCCTTCATTGTTCTGGACAGTAGGACAAAACAGAAATCAGATGGGTCACTGGGAAAGAAATATGATGAGAAGTAGATAAAAGGGCAGGGTGCTAACTGTACACACTGAAAATTAAAAAACAGACGACATCCGTTCCCTATACACTAGCAGCCGAGTGCTTGGGGCCAGGAACATGCCCAACAGGCTCAATAAGAATCAGTTATCAAGAACATTTCCTTGGCCTGTCCTAACTTTTCTGAGCTTGCAAAACAAAACCAAAACCAAAAAACTAGTCACGCAGTAATTCAGATTGACTCTTGTCAAAGATTTAAGATTTGATGGTCATGATCAATGTCCATGAGATCTTTGGCACCTATTGTAATGAGTATGCCCTTAGCTGTTTATAATAATGTACTTGAATGTACATGTTTATATATATATATAATTATAAAATATTATAATCCAAGGCATTATCAGATTTTTAAAAAAACCCAAAATTATTGTCTCAGTCTGTTTTCTGGTGCCCCCCTGGTTGTCAATCTATCACTGTCATGTTTTCCCCTCACTCACACCATGAAGTGCAAATAATAATAATAGTAATAATAATAATAATAAATAAAAAAGAAAAGGAACAAAGAAAGAAATAGAAATAGGAAGGAAAGAGAAATGAGACAAATATATGGAAAAGGAAATGTGAAAAAGCAATTTGATGATGTAGGGTCCAGGATTTATTATCAGTTTTAATCTATCCATCCATCATGTATGTGTGTCTGTCTGTCTATCTCTGTCTGTCTATCTATCTACTTACCTACCTACCTCCATCCTTCTATCTATCATCTATCCTCTACCTACTTTTTTCCCCTAATGTGTGCTTTGGAAATAGCAGAGGCAGAGGTCCTTTTTGTAATCCTGCCATTCTTACGTGTTCTTTGGTCTCTATGTCACCTGGGTGCTCCATATATAACTTATAGGCATGCTCTTATAAATCAATGTGATAAAAGTCCCCTTCCTGTGGCTTCAACCTATATATTACAGCACGTATTCCATGTAGCCGTGTATTTGACCTTGGTTTGCCCTGACTAGCTCATCTCTCATTCAAAGTTTTATATATTATATGTAGAGCAGGAGAACTTCACGGTTTCTTTTTCCTGCCTGAACAGCAGGATGACATGATTCTTCCTGCCTTGTTATAAACCCAGTTGCCTGCAATTCTTTATTGGCCATTTAAATCAGGTAAGACATATCCTAACAGATTTGTATAGAACATCTGTTTAGGTGTATTTAGCTTGCTGTGACATGACTATATCCACATAAGAGTGTGAGAGTTCTGGAGTAGAGCCTGAGATTCAGGTTTCTGTCTTAAACCTGGCAGATGATGTCACTAAAGATCTCTGAGTCTTGGTCTCCTTAGACTAAACAAAACTGAATGTAAAATGAAGGCTCATACTCCATTTGCTTGAAGGTCTTTTGTAGCTACAACAGTCATGGCTCCAGGAATTTTGGAGTAAAAGAACAGTAAAACCACAGTCTTGTTAGCCAAAAATGTGTCAGTTGTCATTAGGTCTGATGAATGACTCAAAAAATGCTTTTTGATGGTGAGGGATGAAGGCGGAGGAAAAGAGTGTGCTGAACTCCATATCCATGAGTGATGCTTAGGGAGGCTGTGAGCAGGGCCAACAAATGAACAGCAACTAGAACAGCACTGGTGACTTGCAGCCAGTTCCGGGACTCCTAACATTAAACACTGCTTTAAAGACCAGAGAGGACTCTTAGGATACTTTTAACTCACAAGTTATAATAATGAATTTGTTTAAGGAAAAACTTGCTTAATGGATTATAAATTCATTTCAACTACTTCAGGAAAACCAAGACACATTTTACATCTCCGACTCTCAGAAGTTGAAGGCCACAGCTAACTTTTTAACTTTTTCTCTGCATTTATCTGTAGGCTGACTGTGTGACTGGTTCCATTTTTCTGTTCTTTTGTGCAAAGTGGGGGACTCAACTCTTTGAAGGCTTGGTTTTCAAGCTCACTACAAGCACAGCTCTCCAAAGGCTGGCTCTCACTCAGCAGACAGCTGGATCTTGGCACTGCTACTTCCCACATGCCCTATCAGCCAAGGCCTGGAGTTGAGCTCAGGTTGTATTTGTTAGGCAGATCTCTGGCCTTTGTGAGGGCAATGTCCTAGAGCCCAGACACTCACAGCATGTCTTTCTGTGTCCTCAATGGCTTTGGCAGTTACATCGGAGACTCCCTGGCTACATTTAAGTTGAGGATAGGGATACCCATCAGGCTTGTTTAAGTGAGCTAACAGGTGAGTGTTACCTTTGGAATGAAGCTGATCTCCCACCCATCGAACGGGAATGAGAAGGGCTCCCATTGCACCTCCACGGTGGTTTCTGTGATTGTCTTGAACTGTAGCCCGTGAGGAGTGGAGACATCTGGAACACAGCAATGTGGGTGGCAATGTCATGGCCATCCCTGGCAGGGGCAGTGATCGCTTCCTGGTGACCTCCCTTGGTGTCCTGGGTGAGGAGAGGTGTGGTGGGCAATCCCAATCCTGCTGCAGACAGCATCTCAGTGGCAGGGCCAGCACACAGTCATGCGGTCCTGGTGCTCAGTGTGAGTGAATATATGAGCAAACTTAACAAATGTAATCATTAGTTTTGTGCTTTCCAGTACATAATAGAAATGTTAACGTTAAACTTTTAAAAATCATGTTTTCTTTTCCTTACTCATTTGGTAGATCCTGGCATTGAATAAAAATCCTTTCTCAGAAGGCTCATATAGATGCCATACAGAATTCCTGGGAGGCAAGGTAGTGGCTGGTATCAGTGTTCCTATTTTATACCCAGGAAAAGGGAGGCACAGGGGAGGCTGACTGGAGATGTGCGATAAAGCCAGCTTCAGAATAAAACTGGATGCTTTTCATGAGTGTCTGAGGTGCATTGAAAGTATTGAGACTCAAACCACTACACCTCGGATGGCCTGAATTTGCCACTTTATATTTATAAAGAAAGCATAGGCGTACACAGAGTGTTGCTCCCATTTCATCTTCTCTAAATTTCTTCCTGTTCTTTCTTCCCTTGCTCACCTTTGCCTCACTTATCTAGCTTTGCTTTGTTCTTAATCTCTTTTTCTCTCCACTCCTCCCCCCATCCCAAACACACACACACACACACACACACACACACACACACACACACACACACACACACACATACACACACACACACAGGTTTAGTGAGGTGGAAATATGCTTGTCCTGATGGAGTTCCAGTCACCAGCCCTGAAATACAACAGTGTGACTTTTCACAGTTCTCTAGGAAGCCTGCTCCCACGTTAGTATTGCTTCTCAGGCTATTCCCACTGGAAAAGGGTGGATTCTTGTTTTATTTTTATTTATTTATTCCTGTGGAGAAGCTTCTCTTTCTCCTTCGTGGAAAAGCAGGGCCAATTCCGAAGCCATTTGAAGAATTAGCAGGTGAGTTTACATGACTTTGTCTATGTCACCTAGGAGCTAGCCTGAGGGGATGCCCTGAATTGGCACAGTGAATGCCATCAGAGATGGAAACCACATTCAGACATAGGTGTGGATCAGAGAGGAATGTCTTCAGGATCAGCTAGGCACTCCAGGACAGCATCCCCCAGCACAGTGGGACAAGCAGCAGATGGGGACCTGCCTCTACACAATCACTGAAGACATTTGAAACTAGTTCTCCGGGACCAGATTTTTTTAAAGGGTCAAATATAAACGGAGATAATTATAGGCAAATAAACACACTCAGCATTCATGGAGGAGTCCAATAGCATCATACGACTTTAGTCACTTACACGTGGGGGCAAGGTGACTTTCTTAAGCCTGTGTCCCTGTCTTTTCATCTTTCAATTTAATTGTTGACCTCTTTGAGGTCCTCAAAACCAATTCTGTTACCTTGACATTTCCTTTTTCTGAATTTTTCTGCCATTTGTTATCCAAATGCCATTTGTCATTTGAGACCTACATGAAATGGGCTCAAGTCTCTTATTCCCTATTTGGTCATGGGTTCTCATTACAGACCCCAAGGGCTTTCTGAATTCTGAGGGTCCCTGTTTCCATGGCCACAGGTCTTGTTCCAGTCTCCTGTTTCAGCCCTAATCTTTCAGATGTTGTCTGTGTAGACTCTAGTTAGGCCTGGCTCATTTTCACTGAAGTCTCTATGAGGTGTGCAGGCATCTGTCTGTGCAGATTCTGCACTAGATTTGGGACAGCATGAATGCCACTTCTGCCCAACTACTGGAAATTTCTTTCAGAAGAGTTGCTTGTCTTAGTTTTGGAAAGTTGAAAGTAATACTTTGTAACAATTTAAGAATTGAGAAGTATACAAAGAAAAGAAACAGCATTTCCTCTCTCATTCTATTTTTGGACAGATTTAATGTTAACACTTGGTAGGCTATCTATTATATTTTTCTATAATGAGCTATGCATCTACCAAACATAGATAAGGATCTAGACGAGGTCTTCCTTGTTACAAAGAAACAACAACAACAGGAATTCTGCATCATGGAGACAGCTCAGCTTGCTTTCTAAGTCTTCATTATCACTCTCTCCATTGTAGCTTTCTAAATTATCTTCCAGAACCTCAACTAGTATTACTAAAGTGAACTGTCAAGATATTTTGCTAACATAAAAGGTCATAAAGAAATTATGCCACTTATAGAAGCAGATGTTGTCAGCTGGAACTTAAAATACATTATCATTGTTTTTTTTCCTCACTCTGCTTAGTACTCCACACCTGTAACATTTAGTCCTTGTTTATGATACTTCATAGCTCCTAGTTCTGAATCCCTAACTAGATTCAAAGTCTGTATCACACTTTCCTTGAATTCTATCAGAATCCAGCTTATAACAAATCAAGTGCTCAATAATTAAAATATTGGTGGATGTTGCCTGAATTTGGAAGCTCTCATAATCAGAAGTGCCTTTTTAATGGTGGACTTTTTTTTTTTTTTTGAAATGGGTCATATCTGAAGCCCTTACCCCCAAGAGCAAACTATTGCAGGCATCCCTAAAGAATTAAGAAAAGACACTATTATCATGAATGTCTATGATCTCATGTAGGAGAAAAAGAAAAATGGAGCAGGACGGGGAAATGGTACGTACGAGTGGCCACCTTGGCAGTGATGGGAAGGCTGAGGATGTTGCTAATGACAGCGTAGACGCTGATGTTGTAGGTGAGACCTGGCTCCAGCTCCGTGATGGTGACACCACTCCAATCTCCAGGCACCCGCTGCTGGAGCTGGAGGCCCCCCAGGGCCATCGGCTGGTAAGAGATCACATATTCCGTCACTGCCATCGGCCCGTCCCATTCCAGCTCAATGGACCTGTCGCTGATACCAGCCACTCGCAAGTCCTCTGGAGGGGCAACTACCAGGAGGCAATACACAGACACCATGAGCTCAGAGGATTGCCTTTCCCAGCCTGTACTCAACTTTCTTGCTCATATCTCACCCCCGAATTAAATGTATGGAGTTCTGTTGGCCTCCATGACTTGGTTCTCTACTGAATGATGCCAAGCTCCACCAGGCCATAATACATTTTCGGGAATTCTGCCTGACTGTTCACAGGTATTGTCATTGTTAAAGATGAAACACTATGAAATGGTAATTAAGCAAATTGCATCTAAAAGGTAATTATTTAAGACTTGCCACTTTAAAATCATTTCACTGCATTTTACAGTGAACTATGCCTTTAAGGTGATTTTTTGTGTGTTGCATCTCTGATAGAAATACAACATAGTTGTGTTTTGTTGCCTATCTGTTCCCAACCCCATGTTTAATGATGTCACATGAGCAGCTTGAAACTGGCCGTGGAGGCGTTCACACCATGGCAATTTGAAAAAGCTACAAATGAGGACTTACTAGCTTGCTTTTCTTCAGAGAATCAGTTGTTAGATTTTTCACAGCACACTGTGACCAGCTGAACAGTTCAGTAGTTTAATAAATTACTGTCGTCAGACTATCCTGACAGCCAGTGTCTGATTTAGCAAGTGGAAATAAAGACTAATTCCTGTTTTTCCTACAAATTATAAGAAGCCAAAACAACATGTCCTTTATCTCATGGCCTAATGAAGATGCTCAGAAGTCCTTTATTATAACCCCCCCTTACCCCTGCCCACTGCCTTTAAAAGGACAACATTTAAGTTCTGAAGCAAATGTAACTTGTTCCAAACTAATTTTCATTAGCCTTGACCTTGGAGATGATGACCAGGAAGCATTCTTGAGAGCTTTGCCTTTCCTACTTGTCCAGCTTCACAAGTGCTCTGCAGAGTTGCCAAAGGTTAAACCATATTGAGATAGCCTTTCTTGTATAGCTCCCTTGGGAAGTAAAGCTTTACCATAGGATGGGCATCAAATCATTGAACCTTTAAGACTAATTAGAAGGCTAGCTCTAGTGTCTATAATTGGACCTGCTCATAGATTGCAGCAAAGATCAGGCCAAGATTTAAGTGATTGTAATTAACTTTCATGTTTGTATGTAGTGGAGGTTCCCATTGGTTTCAGAGTTGTTGTTGGTTTTGGATTTTTCTTCTGGGTAATCTCACCCTTTACAAACACACAGGGCCACGCCAGGTGCTTTTCACAGGAATATGTGAGTGCCTACCAACTTGAGTTCACACCAGAGACCTCTAATCCAAGATTCATGAGAAAGATCACATGTCTATGATACTGGCTATTTGCTTTTGCCCCAAACCATCCATTCTCTGCATAAAACAGCTGAGAAAATAAAGTTTCTTTTGAGTGAAGAGGGAAAACATTATGGGAAGCAGAAAGTCTATACTTTCTTCTTATTTAGTCAATTAATTTATCTTTGTTCTCACAATGTAGCCCTGGCTGTACTAGAACATACAATCTCCCTGCCTCACCCATCTCCCTGATTGCTGGGATTATAGCTCTGTACTGTTATTCCCATATGTATCTTAAAATTTACTCCAAACAAACTTTCAAAAATAAAGTAAGTATAAATAAAATTTAATTAAACCCTTAAATGTCCTGTTTATAGCTCTGACATTATAAACGCTGAAGTACATGAGTAGAAAACCTGCCACTATTTGTCATGGTATTTTTGGTGAATATTTGTTATGTACCAGGCAAAACGCTAATCACTTTACCCTGGGTTATCCCATTTCAACCTCCCATCAGCACAGCAGGATAGCTTTTATTCCTACTCCTAATTTATACACAAGGAAACCGAGGCACACAGCAAGCAAAGACAGAAGAGAGGATTTGAACCTGGGCACAATGACTAGAGAAGCTGTCAGCCAATCCATAATTCTAGATTATAGTTATAAAACATTTCAGTGATAAGGTGTGTCAGACATACCATTTAACAAATTAACAATCCCTTTCTAGCAGTCCTGGGAGGAAGTTCAGGTAGATGGAGTAATCTTAACATCACAAGAGGGGGCTGAGTGGAGGGATGTGTCCAACTCCAGGGAACTGAGTCAGACCAGAACTGACTCTCAGATCTTTCATGGAGCAGTCTACCCATTCACTGTACCTGCCATCTTCTCTCATTTATGCACAGCCCTTTAAGGGACTGTGTAGAAGCTCTGTGAGAAATGGTCCAGGTGACCTACACTTGTGTTCAACTGGGTTTTTTGTTTTTTTTTCATGTGCTGTCTCTTTACTCTGAGACTTATTAACAGGACTCCTCCTGTCTGTGGCAGAAATGGTCACTGCAAATTTCAAGTCACTGGCTTGCTACTCTTGGGGTCTATGGGACTAGTCAGTGTATTCCTTTTCTGATTCCTTCTTCCAGAAAAATGGAGCTAATGGTAACAGTAGTGTATGATCTAAGCTCAGCATTTAGAATCTGAAAGCAAGTAAGATGCAGAGAAATTTTCACCTTTGCCATCTCAAACTTGTTAATACTACTGCCTTCACATCTGACGGGGAGAACAGCATCTGCTGTCACCTGGGGCAGAAGTGCTCTGGTGAGTGATAAGTCAATGACGGTGTCTGCAATCACTATCAAACAAGACAATACTGAACTATAAAGCAAACTACAAAAGAGATGCGTGCAGTGAGTGCGTGCTGGGTGGGAAGCATTTGCTTACTTACTCTCTTTGCTGCTTTCATTTTGAGACTTGTGGAAAAGCAAGAGACTAGAGAGAAGAGGCTGGCTGGAGGATCCAGGACTGTTTATTTCCGAAGCAGCCTTGCCACTTGCTTTTCCGATCTTGCATCACTTTAGTGAGCACACAGGGAGGCAGTTTCAGGCTGTGTTTTGCTCTGTAGAGCAAGTGGTTCCAGGAGCCAGAGGTGGGCAGCTTGTTTCAACAGAGACAAACAGTGATGTTGACGGATCTGCAGACATCTCACTGAATTCCAAGGAACCTTGTCCTGCTCACTCTTAGGGAGCTTCCAACAGCTCACTCACCAGCTCCTACACTAACTACCTTCGTGAGATGGATATGCACAAATGACTCTAGGAGCATCTCATTAAAAACAAAACACATTTGCTGGTCTCAGCATTTATGTCAAAAGACTACTCCTTATGTATTTGCTGTCAAAGATTTTATTTTTTTTTTTAACTGTTTGGTTTAGCATCTCAGGGAAGTTTAGAGAATGCTAGTAGTTGGTGGGAGATTAGTGTTCCCATTCTTACTCCATTCTTAATGAGCTGTTGGTTCTGGGAAAAACACGTCTCTGACTGCTGCTTTTCAAATCTGTAGAAGGAGAAGCCCAAAGCAGCTTTTTCCTAAGGCTTGTTTTAAGTGCTCAGACCCAGGAGGTTTTGTTGTATCATCTTTACAGGGACAGAGCATGAGGCAGAAAGACATACCATGAGCAAAGGTCAAGACTAGGAGTCAACTGTAATGGCCTTGCTGTCACTAGTCAATTGTACTGATGCTGGGATATAGGGGCCTTGTAATGAAATCCATATGGTGGGCAGCTGTTCTCCATGTGCTGTCAAAGAAAAAAACGGTGACCTACAAGGAAGTCTACTTTGTGGCTGTCCGTGTTTTCCCCTTTCTGACCCTCTGTCCTCTCTCTCTGTACTCCTGTGAGCTGTCTTGTGTGCACCTGGCCAGAAATGTCAAACAGGGAGTAAATAGGCCCCTTTTCACAAAGAGCTACTAAAATAGCACTTTAGATAATGACACACATCCCTTTCTGGAAGAGACCTGTGGCATTTGGTTTTAAAGGTAGGCATTAAGAGGAGTACATCCTGCAGTGAGAGGTGGCTCCAGGGTTGTTATAGAAACAGATGAAGATTATGCAACTGTCCTTCCTCATGGGCTTCGAACCAGTTAAGAAAATGTATCTGGGCTTGCATAAGTCTTCCTCAAGCAGCACAGAGCCGATATGTCAGAAGTAGCATGTAAGCTAGGCTTGGACTTGACCCAGTTGTAGCTATATAAACAGCTGGTGATTTTTGCCTGATGTGATCAAGGCATCTTATCTCCAGTTCAGTTGGAACACTGGATTGTATTAAGTTGTTTTGTTGTTGTTTGTTTGTTTCATTCTGTTTCTCAAATAGACCTGACCCTGTGGAAAAGCATGTCTAGACTATGACAAGTAGATACAGATTCACAAACAGTGATTGTATTAAGAAGCATGTGTGCTATAGAACAGCAATTGAGGCAGCAATGACTCAAGCTGACCCTTGGCATCCTCTGGATGGGGTCTCCAGGAGCCACCTACTCTTGATGGGAACAAGGTTATGCTTCAGGTTTGCAGCAGTGGCTTCGGATTCAGAAGCACTGAGGGCTAATGTCTGCTTCAGTTTTTCTTTGGAATAATTGGTGTAATGACTATACTTTTAGAAAGGATTTTCAATTCAGTAAACAGAATTGAAAGGCTAGATGAAATAATTGAATATAGAAGAAATGTAACACAGGGAAAAAAGACCTTTCTAAGCAGTGAGCTATTGTTCCCACTTCGTTACCACTAACCCTTCAGAAGGGTTCGATGGGAAGCCACACATGCAGATGCTGAAGGACAGAAAGTGGTGGAAGCTGGCTCCCCAGGATTTGTGCCTTAGAAATGACTAGCATTGCTCAATTAGAAAGTTTAAAAATGTTGTTGGTTTTTATTTATTTAAAATTTTCCCAGGAGGTATTCTGAGCTCATAACAGAAAGGATCAATTACTTAATCTATACTTGTAATAGCACAAAGGTATCAGCAATAGTTCCTGATTTAGTCGGAGGAGGATGAACAATAGAGAAACAATGAAAATCATACGATCTGGGGAAAAAACCCATAAAAATCACCACCAGCCCCGTGAAATACTGCCATCTCCCTCGCTGCTGGATTTAGGTTTTAGAACAGCATGGTAGGACATGACTGTCCTATCGTTTTCTACAATGTAGGCTACACGTGGTGTTGGTTCCTATCTGTGCTATAGTCATCCGGAACAAAATGAGTCATATCTGTTTAATATTCTATACTAATTGTTAGAATGTCAGCTCCTTGGTAACGTCATGCATTTAATCTCATCCTGCAATCTGTAAGCTAACCAGATAAAAAGAGAACTAGAGCCATCCATCCTTCCTCAAGCAGTGATGTAAGGTGCTGAGATGTTGAGATTGGTAATGGGCGAGGGAAACATTTTTAAGCAGGTACAACTCGAGAACTTTAACTCCTGGAGTTAAAGACCAACCTTACCCAGCATGGTTCCCTGACCTTTCTCTGCTTGCTGTGATTTGAATATGGTTTGTATGCATCTCCCTAGGCTTCAGGAACTGAAGTTATTAAAAAGAGTGCAAACTTAATCTGGCAATGGTGCATAGAGATAGGGTCATTGGGAAGTGGTTCAGACGACTGGGTCATCGGAGTGGACCCTCCTAGTCTAATCCTAACAGCTTAATAAGGCGAGAGACTGGAGGATAGACACACATGCTCCCTATCTCTTGTCATGTGACTCCATGTGCTACTTTGCTACTCCGCCAGCAAGAAGGCTATCATTAGACGTAGCTGCTTAATTTTGAACTTCTAGAACTGAGATCCCAAGTAAACCTCTTTATAACACACCCACACTATTTTTTATATTATTTGGCAACAGAGAATGAGCTAATAAACTAGCCACCCCTACTTTAGGGACAGTAGAGTGTTGTCATCTCTACTATCATTGTCTTTATTCTAGTCCCAGGAATAGAGATCCAGTTCTCATCCTGAATATGACCTCATCAATTGTTACGGACTTGAAAACAGTTGCCACAGAAAGCAAACAATTATAGCCAAACTGGGAATTATTTTGTCCCCTCCCCTCCATTCTTCTTCCCCAACCAACTGGAACTACCCGCAGAGTGTTCCCCGTCCTACCTGCTGAGCAGTCAGGGCCCTGGTAGCCCTCCTCACAGATGCAGAGTCCCTCCTGGCAGTGCCCGCGCCCACTGCAGGCATTCAGACAGCGTCGCTGGCTGCAGTCCTCACCAGCATAGCCCTCTTGGCACAGGCAGGTACCGTTGGCACATTGCCCCTTCCCTGAACAGTCCCCGGGGCACCGCAGCTCCCTGCAGTCCTCGCCTGTGTAGGGCTCTTCACAGACACATTCCCCGTCCACACAGAGCCCTCGGGAACTGCAGTCTGTCGGGCAGCGCAGCTCAGAGCAGTCATCTCCACTGTATTCACTGTCGCAAATGCACTGGCCATCGACACACACCCCCCGACTGGAGCAGCCCAGTGGGCAGTAGGGCTCTGAGCAGTTCTTGCCGAACCAGCCTTCATTGCAGATGCAGCCACACGACTCAAAGCTAAAGTTGCCATGGCCGCTGCAGTGAGGGACATAGTCCAGTTGTCCTAGAATGGCCAAGGAGAAGGTCAAAGGGCAGCAGTGGCCTCTCATAAATTGTACTGGGGAGGGTTGAGCAGAGACCTATACTCATCCCTTTGATCACATCGGTGCTGCTGAGTGTTAACTACCACATAGTTTGGTGCAAATTCAGCTTAATAAATGTTTTCACCCAGTGCAATCGTCTATGCATAACACAGCACCAAAGGGGAAGATGGGTAAGACCTGGGCAAGATCTGGGCCATTTTCCTCTGTCAGGTCACCTTCAGAGCATCTTAGGTTGGGCTCCTAGAACCTAATAAGAACACTTATTAAAAAGTGTTCCCAGAAGAAACTTGCCATAGTGGGTTGTGTGTGTGTATGTGTGTGGAGGGGGGTGGGGTGGGTGTCAGGAAGCAATGTGGCTGAGCTAGAGTGTGACTATGCAAAATTCCAGGAAGAGTGACTCAGATTCCTGAAGTGCTCTAGAAATGGTGTAAGTCACACTTGCTCATGAGGTGAGGCCCTTCTCTGAGCACATGTAAGTTCTAGGGCCCTCTATGTCTTTGAGCTTGTCAAGTGTTCTGATTAGGTTAAGGATATTCCTCTGACAAAGATGTCCAGATGCCAGGTATAACTATGAGAGGGATTGGAGAGGATGTAGGCTGAGCACTGGGTCAGTTATGCAGATGGAAGTCACATGTATTACAGACCTGTCCCATCTTCTCCCTTCCTGCCATGGGCTACTGCACACTTGTCAACTCCAAGGTTTCTTCCAAGGCTTCCTGAAGCACGGTTTCAGTTACTGTTTGCTATGATACCTTCATGATTTTATATCTATATCTATATCTATATCTATATCTATATCTATATCTATATCTATATCTATATCTATATCTATATATATCTTGTCCCAGTCTTTTTGCATAAGGTTTTATGGCAAAATAATAAAGTCTAGGTTCACTCCAGTAAGCTCTGCTTCATGCAGTCCACATTGCCTAAAGAAGATACTGCATTGGCATTGCTTAACATAGCTCAGCCAACTAGATTTTTCCTAATCAGCCAATGATCTGAGTGGCAAGCTGGTGGATTCTGGAGCAGGAGAGACCATAACCATGGAAAACTATGGCATTCTCTTGTTTTTAAACTCCACCAAAAAGATGGACTCAATGAAGAACAGGAATGTGGACATCTTGATTCCCTTGTATAGTCATCACATTGCTTGTCTATAATCTGAGGAAATTCTATAAAACACTTCATTAGTCAGATTGGCCCCCTATCTTACTATGACTCGGGGAGAATGGGTCTCATCTATGGGCCCCAGGGTTTAATAACATTTTCCTCCACTTCCATCTTGAACTATCAGATTGTACAGAGGTGAGCACTTGCACCCAAGATAATGATGGCTGTTCCTTGTCATCCAGGGCCGGAACTATATGAGTCTGAGGGATCCTTTGGATGGAGAAAGCTGGGCACCAGGCTGACTGGGGACAGCTAAGGGTAGCCCTTGCTTAAAGGATGCTTACTAGGAGCCAGGCTCTCATCTGACTAGGGGAGTCAATAGTTAATAGCTCCTTATTGCTCTGATCTGTCATAATTTGTAGATGAGGAAGAAAAGGCTATGTGACTTGCTTAGATCACAAGCCAGAGGTGGCAGAACAGATCTGAACTTAAAGTCTGACTTTGAAGTCTTAATCACACCTTACAGTAAGGAACAGATGGACAAAGACAGAAAGAAATCCACTGAACATTCAGAATATTCAGCCTTTTGGAGAACAGGATAAGGGGTGTGTGTGTGTGTGTGTGTGTGTGTGTGTGTGTGTGTGTGTGTGTGTGTGAATGCACATGTCTATGTTCATGGAGTGGATCAGGACAAAACTCTCATCTTGCTGGAGGAGAGGGAAACAGGTCCTCTGAGACCTTAATGACTTCCATTTCCTCAGAGGAGAGCAAGGCTGCGAGAGAACGGACAGAGCTCCACACGCTCTAGTCAGTCAGGTTAACATGAACCGATATCAACTCAACAGCCTGTGAAAACCAAAGATGAATGAAGACAGACATCAAATTCCCTGCCTGCCATCAAAGGTGCTGTGCTGAGCCGATGTACCATTACCTGACTCATCCCTCCAAAATCAGGTTAATGTATTTCAAACTGGGTAAGCAGTGTTGAGAATCCCTGAACCGTATCCCCAGGGAATGGCTGCATTTAGATCTTACAGATGACACATTAACCGAGAGCTATATATCGGGTACTTTTTTTCTTTGACCCTGTGAAGAGATGCTGGGTTTCTCTTCCTCTCACCCCACCTCCCTCTCAGCGCAGCTCTCTCCTTCCCCACCAGGGACCAGGCTGCAAGCTCTTCAGACTCTACCTGTGGCAGCGCTTTCCTGACAGCAGTTGGTGTTGCACTGGTCTCGAAGCAACGACACCTCCCTCTCCAGCATCTCTATCCTGCTTAGCAGCTCCTGCAGCACCTGGGCTGAGCTGGCGCATGGGCAGGCTTTTTTGGGGAGGTTGATCCTGTGGGTGAAGGTGACCTGGCTTTCGTGATCTGAGGTTTGGCCTATGTATTCTGTCAGAGTATCATCTTCAGCGCTCACTTCCTGTTCAGCTGAAGCCTCCAGCCCCGAGGAGCAGAGGCTCTCCAGTGGGACGTTGATGTTATATACATGGTTGAAGACCATAGGCTGTTCCTTGCTGGATGTGTTGTAGCTGGAAGCCCCTCCTTCCTCCTCCACAGTTTGTCTCTGGACCCTTTCTGTGGTCACCTCCAGTTGACACTCGGAAGGCTTGAGCATGGATCCCAGCAGGATCAGGTTTACACCGATAAGCATGTTCTTCAAGACCACTGTTTCCCCGTCGATCCCCATCTTCTCAGCCAGAGCTTGGTTCAAGAGCTCCCTGTGGTGGCCAGCATGGAGTTAGCGGAATCTGCAAGAGAAAGCAAAGGGCAAAGGCTCAGATGGCCCCTGAAACATGTACCTGGGCACCATGGCTCTCACTCTGTGAAGTTAGAACATCCATAGACAGAAGTTCTCTGGGGCTGTGGAGGAAATTGGGAAGAGACAGTGGTTCTAAGTCAGAAAGCTGGGCCTTTGTTCTCTCAAAGACTGGATTCTTAATGGATAGCACTTCTACGTTAGGGTATTGTTAGGGCTTTAATTTCAAATGGCCCCCTCTCAAAGCTTGTTGACAGATGAAGGGTTTTTAAGAAGTGTTTGGATCATGAGTGTTTTGATTTCATCAATAGCTTAATCTGTTGATGGATTCATACGTTCACAGCATTGTATGTTAGATAGAAGAGCAGGCCACTAAAGGCATACCTTTGAAGGATTGTGGTGATTTAAATAAGAATGGCCTCTAAAGGCTCATATATTTGAATGCTTAGTTACCAGGGAGTGGGGCTATTTGAAAGGATTAGAAAGATCAGGAACTGTGGCCTTGTTGGAGGAAGTATGTCACTGGGGTTGGGCTTAGAGGTTTCAAAAGCCCATGTCAAGCCCAGAATCTCTGTCTCTGCCTGTGGATCAGGATGTAGCTCTCAGCTACTGCTCCAGCCCTTGCCTGCAGGCCACCATGTTCCCCACCATGATGATAATAATCTAAACCTCTGAAACTATAAGCAAGCCCCTAGCTAAATGCTTTCTTGTATAAGAGTTTCCTTGGTCATTGTGTCTCTTCACAGCAATAAAACAGTGACTCAAACAGGAGCATATCATCTCCAGTCATTTCTGTCTTCTCTCTGCTTCCCTGCCACCATGAGGTGAGCAGCTTTGTCCTGCCACATCCTTCTGCCGTGATGGACTGAAGCCTTTGAAATCATGAGACAAAAGAGTCCTTCCCCAGGATTACTTTTTTCAAGTCTTTTGTTACAGCACTGAAATGTTAGACTAATGTAGCCTTTTAGGCACAGAATACAACAGTCTGTCCCCACAGTGTGCACGGAACTTCTAGAACACATGCCAGAAGTGGAGGCTCTGTGGACAGCCTCTTCCACTGAGGAGAGCTCGAAGCCTCTCTTCACTTCTAAATGAAAATTAGGATGAAGCAGAGCACATAAACTTAGGGGCACTCCCAGGTTGCCTCAGATATTTATTATGAAAGGGCCTCACTGGCCATGTCAAATAACTTATCCATCAGCTCCTCTAAGCTCACCTATTAAATAGAGGTTGACTTTACAATAACCAACCAGCCACATAATGTAGTTCCAGGCAGTTTGTGATTGTTAATTATCCTTGGGTACATTCGTGATTTATCTGGAATGATGTGAGCCGAGCTTTGTTTTAATCTTCTCATTAATACAGTCCCTGTGCTCTGTGACCACAGGGTGCCTTTCTTCTGAGGTCCTGTTTAAATAGCTAAAATAATGAATTAGCTCCTCTGTTGGTTACCTAGTCACCAAGAACCATGAAGTATAATAAATTCACAGTAATAAAAATCAGTTTTACAAAAATTATATTTCCTTTCTATTCCCTGTGTAAAAGAAAAAGGAGACTTAGACACTTTGGTTCTCAAGGAAAATCAGAGCTGCTAAGAAGATTAAGGACTGAGGAACCAAGTAGCTGTAACTATGAGCCTCAGAAGAAGGTGACGAATATCAGTTAATACTCACTGGCTGTGCACAGGGCACAGATGGTGCTGAGCCTTCACACATGATCTTATCCAACCCCTAGGAGAGTCTGGAGATGATACTCATCTTATAATGGAGCAATTTCTGCTTAGAGGGGTTGAGATATGAAAGCTGGCCAGACTGATCCCAAACCCATGCTCTTAGCAACTATGCTTCAATACCTTTTTTAAAAAAGAGTGTTCAAACATGGGCATGGCGGTACACATTTTTAATGCTAGTATACGGGAAGTAGAGGCAGGAAGATTAGGAGTTCACGGCCAGAATCCCCCACATAGCAGGTTTAAGTTCAGCCTGGGATACACAAGACTCTGTTTTTTGTTTCGTTTTTAAGAAACTCTTCAATTTTTTTCTTGTCATTGGTAGAAATTGTACATTCTAGAACTTTCTCAGGAATACTAAAGTTAGAAAATTTGCTTGGGTGTGGGTGTGGTTCACTGCTTTTTCTTCCATGAACCATTATTCTCTCCTATTTCTTTCCTATTCCCTCATACATTCCCCAAATACAGGTTGAATTGCCTGCCCCACACTCTTCTGTGAGCACCCTTCTTACAGCGCTGACCATGCTAGACCATGGGCTCCCTAGGCCTGATTTTCCCACCTGGCCTGCTAAGTTGATTTGAGGCAGATCATGTCCTGTACGCAGCATAGGGCTGTGTGTTTAGGACATGAAAGTGCTCAGTATTTAGTTGTTGAATGAATGGATGGCCAGATGCACGAAAGAATGAGTAAATCGATGATTTAATGAGTAAATGCTCAGTGAGCAAAAGGTTGAGTCATTCTCCAATTCATTTAATCTCTCTCCATTAACCCTAAGTTACTTACTGTTCTCTTCAATTTCAGCTCTGGACAATGTCTAAGACTTCACTGAATTAGGAATAACTGGTATTAGTGACTAGCATAAAAATCATATCTTATTACTCAGCTCTTATGTTATATATTGCATTATTTTCTGTCCCTGTTTCTAATATTGATAGGAAGCAGAGCAGACCAGAGCTGCTGAGACTGCCAGACTGTCTGGGATCAAACCTCATCCCCATAAATGTTTATCTATGGGAAGATCACTTAACCTCTCTGTGAGCTGTACTGTCTGTAGAGTAGACATAAATAACGGTACCAACATTATAGGATTAGAGTGATGATTCTACCATTATCTATATAATACTTATTAAGTACCTAGCATTGACTGAAATAAATAAATAAATAAATACTGTTTTCAGACCATTTGGTTCTTCTTCTATTTAAAGACTCCCCTGAATTTGCAGAGGCATGTAAAATGCCTTATTAGTTGGCATCAGGAAAGCCCAACTCATAGTTTATCCTTGAACAACGATGATGAGGTTCCAGAACTACTGTGGGAGATGACAACTCATTGGCCACATCCTGATAAGATAAACCCACCTTGGGAAGAGATGGACTGACATGAAACTAAATTGACCTCGTAGCTGTAAGCTCTTCCCACACCCCTCTCATCTGAGGCTATACTTGTCTCCCCACCTTGAATTGCTCCAGTCACTACACTCTTGGATTTCCCTTCTGTTCTTCTGTCATGCAACACCCTCCCAGTGACCTTGCCAACAGTCCTTTACACACACATAAGGCCTTGCTATCTTTCTTAAACTAAACTTTATCTGGATTCATATTAATATTGCTGAATACTATTTTCTTATGGAAGGTGTGAAATTGTTACAAAGCACTTAATACAGATGTTTGGCCAATTGTAGATAGGAAATAAATAAAAGAATAAATGATATTGTAAATGAGAAAGAGGACCAATGACTGGAAAATAATGAGGAAGAAAGATGTTAGATTCTATGTGTAGGTCCAAAACGACCATTAAAAATTGTAGAGAAAGAGAAAGTTAGAGTTTTATATGAGAAACATGGTCAATATTTTGGTCAATAACTAAACTTATGCAAGTAACTCAATCATGTAATTTTTATAAGCCCAGATCTTTTTTAAAACTTAGATTTTATTAATTGAAATTCAGAGTGAAAAATAAACAAGGGGCTTGTCTGCCCTTACAGCACCAATAATTAATCATTTCTGGGTGACTAGAATGCTGAAATAATGCAAATCTTGTCATATGAGGAAGAGAAATTTAGCGTTTTACTTGGAGAGGTGAGAACATGGGAGGTTCATATATTATTTTATCACTCATTCATCTGACAAGTATTTATTGAGTAGTTATTAGATTCCTGCCCTGAGGTTATGGAAATTACATCCATATATATGGAATTGGAAGGGTGGAATATAAAGGAACAGAGTAAATGAATACCAAACAATATTATACATACAAATAAATTACTTGATATTTGCCATGTGATAATATCATATGACACATACATCTGTGTTATTTTCAGTCAGGAATAGATAGCCATTGTGGAGGGAAAAAAATTGATGAACAGAGTTTTGTGAGTTAAGAAGGCGAGGCTCATGGCCATATTTATAGAGTGATATCCTGAAAGGCTTGTCTGCTCAGATCACAGCTGAGATCTGAGATCTTGACGAAGTGGGGTAGGGTGTCTAGCAAAAGAGAGGGGATGCACAGCACAACTATAGGGAAGAGAAAATGTAGGGGCTCTGAGGCAGGGGTGCTCCTCAGGAGTCTGAATAACAGGGTGTCTGGGGTGGGGTGAGGGAATGGATGTGGGAGGGCCCTGCAAAACATTGCCAGGACTTGGTGTTTCAGTGCAGAGACATGGTCACTATTCTCAAGTGCTCCCCCTATCACTATCAAGTGCTCCCATTCCTTGAGAAACTCCCAGTCTCAGAGAGGAGAAAACCACAAGTATGCCGGTGTGTGGTGATGACCATGACTAAGGAGCATGCTGGCTGTCCAGCGAGGAAGGTTACAGGACAGCTCTGTCGCAGGGAAAGTGACTCTCTCTTGCCGACAACAGAGAAGGCGCTGTTGGCCAAATATTTCTGGCTTGGCTTTCAGGCACACAGTAGGACTAGATTTTCTAACCTTCCTTTGGGTATGTGAGACCAGTGAATCAAAAGGAAATGTTGATTGTCCCTTCCAGGATGAGGCATCAAGTTGATCAGCCGGCACTTGCCAGAAAGTTCTCCCTTCTGTGGTAGCTGGTTGTGTGTGAGATGATGGTTGCTTGATGTCACTCTGGGTCCCCAAGTGACTGCATGAAACAGAAACCCTCACTCCATTCTAGTTTGACTGTAGTACATCTTTTGGTTTTTGAAGTACAGCTTTTGGGATTGATTTTTCTCACACATAACTTAGTCTACCCAGAGATAACATGGGCATGACTCTTAATAGATTATTCTCTAGGTTAGAAGGAAA